CTCACCTTGCACCGACTTTAAGGGCCTTATGGTTTTCTCGGTGAAAACTGTGCACGTTAGTAGTTTGTCTCCACTGTCGGGTGGCAATGCGTACAGTGCTTGCCTTCTGGCAACTTGAGGACCTCAGCTGTGTCGGTGCATAAACCTGCGGTGCACAGAGCCTTGCCCTATGCTGGTGATCGGCTGAGGAGGGTCTCGCTTAGCTTTCATAGTGCGTTTGCAGTCGCACTGCAGCCTTCGGTATTTCTATAGGCACCATGAGGGCTGTTTTCGTGTGCGGTTTGCTGCGCCCTTCCCTTCAGCTGCACGGTGTGTCCGAAGAGTTCATTCCACAGCTCGCTTGTAAACGCATAACTGAAAATGTGTAAAACATTGCCATCATTTTCTAATGTATGTATAACTTTTCAGTATAGGTAATTGTCAATTCGTTCGAGTTTGATTTACATGTAGTTGGTATAACGCGAATACCAACAGACAGACGTTTTTTTATTTACGCAATTTCAATTCACGTGACCGTTTTCATGAAGGGCGTACCTATCGCGGAAGTTGAGAGTTAGGGGCCTACCTGTATATTTAAATTGTAGAAACCGTTTTAATAACCGAGAGATATTTTTAGTAATAAAACCGATGCTATAAATTATTCATTATACTGTGTAATTATTAATATGACTATTTCGGTTATTTATGAGGTATCATTACACTGTCAATTATTACAAACAAGTTAACCTGCTATTACATACCTGCCATCGTCGTACAAATTTGGGACGGGTGGCAATTGCTGAAAGTCTCCAGACACAAGCAACTGCACTCCACCAAATGCTAGGTTGTTGCCTTTGATTTTTCGGGCAACGTACTCGAGCGTTTCAAGTACCCTAGCACTCATCATTGAGATTTCGTCGATGATGAGAAGCTGGACGTTACGCCAGCGTTGATATGCATTTCGTTGACTGTCATCGTTTTCAATGCTCTGCAAGATTGATGTTGCGGACTTCTTGCAATCACCAATGGAGGCCCATGAGTGAATGGTTTTCCCATTGCTAAGATGAGTGCTGCCAATTCCAGTTGTACTGGTGACAACAACTCTACCATCAGCAATGTCATTAATTTTTTTCCCAATGAAACGGTTGATGAGATACGTTTTACCGCTTCCTGGTCCACCTAGTAAGGCGACAGAGTGTCCAGAATTGATCAAACGAAGAGCCTCGCGTTGTTCTTTAGTAAGTCTGTCCATGGTTTCACAAGTAAATTATAGAGAAGTGATGAGAAATTACTTAGAAGTTGAAAAAAATGTGCACTGCATAAGGAGTTGGTCCACAGGCTACTGCTGTTGTTGTCAACAAGCTGTTGCCATAACAACGTAAAACACATAACAAGAAGCATAACATAATTTATGTATTACTAATACTTGTTTATTTATCCATTTCATTATTTATAATATTATTATTAAATTAAGCACACAAGTGTGCTTTGGTTACTGCTCGCAAAATGGCGGCATCAACAAACGATCGATTCCGGCGCTGTCAAACTTTTATTGTGGTGGAATTTTCCAAACGGGGCGGAGGTAATTCAAACGGGGCGCAACGATTCAAACGGGGGGGAGATTTTCCAAACGGAGCGGGCGCGCCCCGTTTGCGCAACGTGGGGAGAACCCTGCTAAAATAATGATAGGATAAAAATAACATTATGACCAGGGGTAGAAATTAACTTTGAACAAGGGAGTCCAATGGACTTCCTGCCCTCAAAAAGAGGGAGTCCGCAGAAAAATGAGGGAGACCACAGTCTGAAATTCAAAACTAAAGATATTAACAATAACGCATTTGGTTATTTTGAAGGTTCATGCGGTTGCACATCTGCCTAATTTTCTTAGGATATTTGCTGGAAAAATACGGTAATTGCGTGGGGCTGTGCTCTGGAACGAACTAGATAGTATCAAGAGCGTATTAAGAATGAGAGCGTATAACGGTGAAATGCCAAAAACCATGTTGTAGTTTCAGTGAAATTAGTAAACTTTAGCCGTTTTATTAGCCGTTATATATAACCAACGGCTTGTTCCTACGCTTGTTCCTACTTGTTCCTACGGCTGAGATATTAAGTGGTGAAAATCTAGTATTTTGCCGAAAATCGAACTCGATTTCACTGCGAGCTTATTACACATATTTTAGCACATTTTAGCACGTTATGTGGTACGTTTTTTGTCAGTATTTAACCAATATATATACCTTCAACGTCATTGTTTGTCCTGATGCTTAGCTGGTAGACATTCCAGTTAGATGGCTTCCACACTGGACTTGTGAGCCAGCTCTCACTGATATATCGTACCAGCTGCTGTAATGGAGATGATGACGCCCTACTCTGCAGGTGCTCAAATGCTGGCCCAATGTCAGCTGCAGGCAAGAAAGGGAGGGCCATAAGACTCCTTATGCACCGGTACTTTTGCCCATGGAGACTGTATGTTGACTTCAGGCCAAGCTCCTGTGTTTTGCGCCATACATCCTGCGCAAAGTGAAATGCGCATTCCTTCACGCTTGCCTCTGGGAATTCCTGGCGTACTGCTTTCCAGGCACCTGTAAAGGCCCGTCTCCACACACGCGGCACGACACGACACAGCAAAACGCAGCGCCGTTGTGCTGAAAAAAAAATACATTGTGATTTCGCTCATTGTGTCTGAGCGCATTGTGTTCACTCTGGTTCAGTGATCAGAAATTATGCATGTGCTTGTTGTCCATTGGCTGATGGTAGCGTGAGCAGAACACGTGATAAAAACAATCGCGTTGATTGGTTCAATTGTCTTTTCGCCGTCACGTCAGCCGGCAAAAGTCAAACTCATTTGACTTTCGCCGTCGCCGTGAAACCCGGCTGGCGCCGTGTCATGTCAGTGATATAATATATTTTAACTTTGCCGGTAGGGGTGAATGACGCCGTTTCCATGGCGTTCCGTGCCGCGCCGCGTATGTGGAGACGGGCCTTTAGGAGGCAATTAAAAAACTATATTATAAAAAAGCAAACTGGAAAAAACAGCACATTGTTTCATGTAAAATAGCACACTTGTATACAATTATGTTCGGAAACAATGAGATCAAAATAACAATTATAATCATATATGCTAATATTAGAATAGAGATCAAACATATGTATAAAAATGTTTGTTACATGAGGAAATACATTGTAAAAATATCTTGGAGTAATGATTACCAATTATCAGAATGATTACGTCAAGGTTAGATGTACAACTTACAAGCCATGTCTAATTTTGTGTATGTACAAATTAACGTTGTGTGTGTGCGTGCGTGCGTGTGTGCGTGCGTGTGCGTATGTGCGTGCGTACATGCGTGATTCTTATATTACCTTTTTCGAAGACCATCACAAATGCTTGTACCTGTGGTTGTGGACCAGGGATGAATTCTTTCAACTTCTGGAATACCTGTAGTATGAGGCATTACCGTACCTTCTGAGTTTTCATTTATAAAACAGATTTTATATAAAGTAAATGTGTTTGACAGCTGTGACGTTAATGGCAACTCACTGGATGAAATGCTATTGACGATTGAGAGAGAATAGAATGTGAATAATTAATATAAATATTTACCACCACATAGTCTCTTGTCTTCCTCCTAGACATCAGGCAGAACACCAATGGAACTTGCTTTATGCTGTCTTCTTTCCGAATGAATCCATGTATGGCCACATTTGGTGAAAGGGAGCAGCGACGATCTTGAAGGTTCCGTCGCAAAACCAACGTTTTGTGTTTCCCAGAATGTTAAGTTGCGTCGGCGTTGCAAAGACTAGGTGTCGCTGCGTGTCTACGTGTATGTCGCCAATCAGGAAATTCGCACATTGCAAAAACTCGGTGTTTATCTGTAAAATAAATTTTTGGGTTGGATATGTTTGTGTATATTGTGTTTATCCAAACACAAACATCATGTGCCAACCCACATCTGCACATGCGTGTTCTACAACCTCCTCACCTTTTTGAGTGACCACACAAGAATAACTTAAGCAAGAACAAGTGGTAATTTCTAGTATGTTTATTACAGCCGGGCTATCCAGAAATTACTTTTGCATAAAATAATAAATCACAAAACAATGTAACCCCCAGAACAAAAAATGGCTCTGTTTATAATGCGGAAGGCCGCCGCAGTTTTAGCGAATATGCTACGGAGTAACTAGTACAAAGTCGTTGAAATCGTCTGTGCCGATGCGGTTGACGCCGGTCACGGCGAGTAGAATGACCGGGATGAAAAAACAGCCCTCCGCAAAACGGTTTATCAGAAAGTCGACCAGGAACAGGGCTGAGCGGCGTGTAGGTAAGCTGTACCTGTACGCTGCCGGACGTCGAGAAGGCGGGCACAAATCCTTTATGCCCGGGCTTGTCGCTCAAATCAAATCCTCTTCATAAGTCAGGCTATTCACTCCTGACACACTGTTACACGCCACCAGCGGTTGCAGCTATCTGTTAGCCCGTAGTTTCGGCGCAGCAATTAAGTTGAATTCGTTGTGCAGCTACGTGGTTCAGCTGACAATATACACCTCACACTTGACGTGTCCAAAAAACCAAAATGTCCAGCAACCTTCTCCTTCACTCCACTTACACCTTATTGGTCGTTTACATCACGTGACCAATGACATGCATATAATATAGTGCATGATTCGACAACATATAAAACACATCATGAATATACATAACGTTATCATAAAATCATCAAACCGCAAAAAGGAACAAATACTCAGATTTATCCCTCCACAATTTTAGGAACAAAACAAAATGACATTTAATGAGAACCATCCTGAGACGCTACAGTTTTGTTTATATTTGACATCCTTTCCTCGCCTGTCTTAATCGTCTGCTGTTAAACTTTGTAACTGATTGTCCTTGATATTGACAAGAAGATTACACACAATTGCATCAAGCATCATAATGAACGTTTACAGAGCATGTTGTGCGTACCTCCTTCTTTATTACTACTTTGTTTAGGGCGGCCTTGTCTGCCTGGTGAATGTGGTCTCTTGTATTCTTCTTGAACTGGGCACCTTTCTGTGACACCGTAGCAGGACAGTTGATAGCGTTTGATCGCTTGGAACACCGCCAGTAAGTGAAGTTGCCCTTGGATACCTTTGAAAAATATATTAGCATATCATATATATTTTCAAAAACAGTCAGATTTTAGGGCAACATAGTTATCTCTATTATCTCTATAACATCAGCCGGTCAGGATAACTTTGTTTGTTTATTATATATGCATGCCCATTGTACCTCCTGACTTCTACACATCACTATTATTTTTTAACACCCACGTTATACACACGCGCGTGAGAATGAGAGCGTGTGCACCCACACAAGGTTGAAGTCAAAAACAAACCTTTCTGGTGTACTCGTATCCGTCGCTGCTCACAAGCTTAGCTCTGGCGCGCTGGGAGCCCTGCTCCACTAAAGTAAATGTAACCGCCGTGTCTGGCAAAACTGAGTCTAGCAATTCAGGCTCTTGTAGAGAACTAAAAAATACATATGAGAAAATATTCAAAATTGCACCTAGTGTGAGAGGAATGATGAGACATTTGAAATTCGCATTACAGCGACAAAAAAAGTATTTAATGTATTTACTCTTTAACTACTTCTGGTTCGTCTTCGACGTCTCTTCGTGTTACTTCGAAGCTGGCAATAAGTTCGGACGCAGGTGGATTCTCAACTGCTGCATTGCTGGTACTCGCGATCGCAGACACGTTTAGAATGGTGTATGTAGCATCTCTACCGGATGAGAGCTCTAAATGCGTTGAATCGACTGGTGCACTGAATTAAGACAACACAATTGAACAAATAAGCTTGCCTGCATGATGTTTAACACGTTCAACGCGAAACACGAGTATACTCGTTCGAACCACTGGCAGCAAGATCAAGCCCGCACGTACAGCACACACGCGGCGCCATTGACTATATATATACAACATGGTGTCGAACTCGCCGGCAGTCGCCGCCGCAGTTTCCACAACTCACCGTTTTAAATCAGTTACAACTCCCGTGTTCCTGCAGGTGACGCCACTTTCCAACTATCGTTGGAATCGCGGACCATTGCTTAACAATATACCCCCGCCAATTTTGACAATCGGCCCGCCAGAATGCGCTTAAATCACAGAAATTCCTCAAAT